AAAGTGAAGATTTGGTCGATACAACCGCGACCTGGTCGAAATTCTGATTGTTGCTCGCGGATGTTTGTCTCCCTAAACGGCGTCAGACGTCGGAGTATAATGGAGGCTGGTAACTTGGTGCCGATTGGGATCAAACTTATTCCACGGTGGTTTGCGCAGTCATTGCGAGGTTCCTTTTTAAAAATTGGAACAATCAGTGATTCGCTCCAAGATGATGGAATGCGCTTGTGTGAACATATGTTACGCATTGAATTAGTAATGGAGTCTACAAGGCCATCGCCCCCCCCCTCCATCTTGAGAAGAGTGAGAGGAACCCCGTCATGTCCTGCTGCTTTTCCTTTATTCAGGATTTCGATGCAAGAACGAACTTCTGCTGCAGTAGGAAGTCCAGATGACACTACTTGCGGGGCCTCAGCTACACAAGAGGAAATAGTCTGATTAGCGCCTGGCCAACTGAACTGCTCGTTGAAGTACTCCGCCCACCGGTCAAGCCGTTGTTACCTGTTCTGAATAACGTATCCACTTTTGTCGCAGATTGTTTCACTAACTGTGGTTCGCCGAACTCCCGTGTTGCGTATCAGTTTAAATAGTCTTTGACCATTTCCTAATGCAACTGATACTTCCATTTCACTAGCTGTCGTTGTCCACTAGTTCTCACGATCTTTCTGGAAGCCATTAGTGAGCTGACGGTGCAGATTCCACCTACCACCTGCTTCGAGCTGGCTACCGCTTCGGACCCACAAGCAGCATTCGCTGTGGAGTGCATTGATCGTCCAATCTGATCCCACTGTTCAGCTGCACTACCACCCCTCAGCGCGTCTAGCTCTTGCCCTAGTGCTGATTCAAACAGGCACGAATGGCTGGTTCAGATAAGCGCTAATCTGCCAATCGAGTTTGGTGGGGTTGAGTGAACTGCATCAAAACACGCATGATCAGATTAAACGCACGTGGTCCAATAGGACCTGAGTTAGCGTACCAGTTGAATTGGAGCTCCACGTTGCTGTCCGTTGAAAGCTGTGTCGGAAGTTTGTACTGGTTAAGAACAGATGATGATCTGCGCAGAACTGAAGAAGTCAATCGCCCTCATCTGTTCGCCGACAAGGCGGAGCACAATGACCGCATATGCAGGATTCGGAAGCACTCAATTTTCCAAGTTGCGCGTTATAATCACCTACGACAACAACTACATCGGAGTTTCGGCTCAACCGAATGAGTTCGGTGAGTTTATCACAAAACTCCCTCACGACGAGACTGCACCTTGACGTGGTGTGATGGTTTGCGTGTCTCCATGACCCTGCGAGCTGTACAGGATGGCTTCTCGCAACCGTAGATCCAAGCATGCCTGAAAGGCCAACGGGTAGAGGCCAGACAAAGCTCGGTCTCACAAAACCAGCTACTTGGGCACCTCCTGGCTTCTTTTTCTATCCACACCCGCCCCTGGAGAGGCCACTTCAGCAAATAAACACAATGAGGGGCAGTTTACCAATCGAAAAAGCCCCGCTAGATGGACGTAGGAGCGGGGTACCCGAGGCTTCTTCTGGACGGTGGGAGAAGTCTTCGCACTTCATTGGACAGCTACCGCCCACCCAAGCTGTGCAGCCCCCAGCCAATAAGGTGCTGTCCCGTCCACGTTCCGCTTGTCTCATCGGGTGCATGAGGCTAAGGGCTGATCCTGAAAAGCGAACCGATAATTAACGCACCAGCGAACAACAAACTTAACCGAAATCCGAAGGTCTTGCGTGACAGGTCTCTGGAAGCTCCCACACGGGTGCTTCGTTCACGCTCCCGCGTTAGATTTCCGTATACTGCCTTGCGAGTCAGACTCCTAAGTCAAAGGCTCCGATTAGGGTTCCCAAAGAAAAACCCCTTCGTCGGTGTGGGCCACCGCGAAGTATGCCGTGCCCTAAAGTATTAGACATCCATTTGGAAAACCACCTTTCCCATCTGTCTAGTGCTTCCTCTCAATCCCGAATATTCCTAAACGCCTGCTGTTTACGCCACCCATCGAATATCAATCAGCGTTTTACCAACAAGTCCAAACAATCAGAAGTTACAGGATTATTGAAACTGAAATTCCCTTTTCACTTGCCTTAACTAGAACCCTTGAAACTTCCAATTTATATGTATGCTGTCTCTGAAACACGCATACAAGACCCCACTTCTATTATCTCCCTGCGTTCTCCTGATCCAAGCTCACGCTTCACCCTTTTTGTGTCAGGCCATTCATCATCCGAAGCTCGCGATGATGCTGGTGTCGGGATTGCACTACGTNTTCGTCTCAACGGGTCAACAAATATAAGATGAAGCGTCGATATCTATTCGTCCCGTCGATGTATACACCGACCGATTGCAGCACAAATCAAGGATGAATAATGCAGGAACCTTTCTCGAATATTCCAAAGTCTTCGAGCAACGGACGTCGTGGTAATCGCCGGAGACTTGAATGCTCAAGTGGGATCTCTGGACGAATCAGAAAGGCCTCTTGGCAGACCACATGCCATCCCGGCCAACCAGACAGACAACGGGGATCGTATGCTTCAACTCTGTGCCGACTACGGACTGTTCCTGTCAAGAAAAAGATTCTTGCACAAGAACCGACACCACCTCACGTGAAAAACGTTTTTAAGGATTGAGACCCAGCCATAGTTTCGAAGTTGACAAAACT